TTTTTTGTGTGTGTTTTTGATTTTTAGATTTTCAGTCTTTTGACAAATCCCCCACAATTCAAAGAATTTGGATGAAAATAGGAAGGGAAACTGTTTTTGTTAATTTTTGTTAGAAAAAAGGCCATCTTCCAACTATTTGTAACAATATGTCCTGCAGTTTCAACACTGAAATTGATAGAATTTGGGGACTTGATGATTTAACTAAATTTTAGTAATTTTTTTTTATTTTTGTCAAATAAACCTTCAATGATAATTAATTAGGAGAGTTGTGTTTTCTGTTTCAGATACTGAGCTAAATCATCTTGAACTTCACTGAATTAGGAACATCTACTTAATGAAGTCATTTTTAGAGCATTTTTTTTGAAAATTTTGAATTATTTTCACCAGCTTTTTAGCACTTAAGCATATTAAGATCTAGGGATGGTGGAACAAACCAAGTATAAAGCCCAGCTGATCTGGGCATGTTATGGAGAGTATGTGTTTCTTTCTAACTTAGTGGCAAGGATTTTCACATCTGTATTCAATAAAACTTTTGGCGTTTTTGTGTCTGTGATAGTGGATGGCTTGTAGCAGTGTGGTCTTCAAGGAGGCTTACCCTGTTTTCAGCTACAGTAATTCAGCTGGCAACAGTTTCAAGCTTTTGTTCTGCTCTCTTTTTATTATGCAGACTTTTTCCTTATGATTTATTTTTCTCAGTTTTATCATTCAGCTAACATTCTACCCTTTCCTCTATCTGATTAGGCCCGTTCCTAAACATTTCAATCAAAACTCTTTTCCAGATTGATTATTGCATTTTCAACTGAAGAAAATTGTGCTTTCCACAAAAAAAATTCCCATTTTTAATCAGAAAAGCAATCCTCCTGCCCCAGTGTTTGCAATTTTCAGCTGAAAATATTACGACTTTGGGTGTCTTGATGAAAAGTCAAAATTTTCTATGGAAAATTTTCAATGAAAACTATTTTTTTCACTCTTGTTGAACTTTTCCAAACAGTTCTATGCCTGACTACTTGCCGTAAGATGAAGGTAGCTACGATCCCATTTGCAGTTAGGGAACAATGAAATTGGCTCAAGTCTGATGGCTTCTTTTATTTTGTCCTTTTTTATTATTATTTTGTCTTTGCTCATCATGAATGAATTGTGTCCCACAGAAGAACATTTGTCTACCTCTGACAGAGTTATAGCAGACATTAGTAGCAGCAAATTATAGGCCCTCTCCCCTCCCCCAATTCCCTTCTTACTAGAGAAGGGTGAAAGTTTTCAAATAAAAATGTTTTAGTTGAGAATGGCATTGTTTCAAAATCAGAATTTTTTGTGAAAACGTTTTTTTCAACAAGGTCTTATTAACTTCTCATCCTTCCTCCCATGCTCCCAATGAGACAGTAAAAAGCTAGTTTTACAGTCACTTTCTCATCTGTATCCCCCATGATCAGCTCTGTATACAGACTCAATTCTTGCTTCTATGCTTGTGCAAGGTTTTTGTCAGGAAATCCAGCATTCTTGGTGGTCTGAGTCCCTCCATGCTGCCTGCTTGCTCAGTTTCTAGGTACTGTTTTGTTTGCCTGTTAATCACACTCTTCCTTGCTGTGGGTCTCATTAGACCAGTGGTTCTCAACCAGCGGTACAGGTACCCCTGGGGGTACATCAACTCATTTAGATATTTGCGTAGTTATACAACAGGGTACATAAAAAGCACTAACGAAGTCAGTAGCAACTAAAATTTCATACAGACAATGATTTGTTAATACTGCTCTCTACACTATACACTGAAATGTAAGTACAATATTTATATTCTAATCAATTTATTTAATAAGTATATAGTTAAAAACGAGAAAGTAAGCAATTTTTCAGTAATAGTATGCTGTGACTTGTGTATTTTTATGTCTGATTGTGTAAGCAAGTATTTTTAAGAAAGGAGAAACTTGGGGTATGCAAGACAAATCAGACTCCTGAAAGGGGTACAGCAGTCTGGAAAGGTTACGAACCATTGCACTAGACTGATTGCTGCCACCATATTTTGCATACCATGTGCTGGGTAATGTCATATGAGGACAGCATGTTTCTAAAACGAAACTTTCACTGTATTAAGTGATCTATGTACAGACATACTGTAACTGCAGCAAGCATTCTATCTATCTAAGTTGTCATGGGATAAGAGGGAAAATCCTTTCATGGATTGAGAACTGGTTAAAAGACAGGAAACAAAGGGTAGGAATAAATGGTAAATTTTCAGAATGAAGAGGGGTAACTAGTGGTGTTCCCCAAGGGTCAGTCCTAGGACCAATCCTATTCAACTTATTCATAAATGATCTGGAGAAAGGGGTAAACAGTGAGGTGGCAAAGTTTGCAGATGATACTAACCTGCTTAAGATAGTTAAGACCAAAGCAGACTGTGAAGAACTTCAAAAAGATCTCACAAAACTAAGTGATTGGACAACAAAATGGCAAATGAAATGTAATGTGGATAAATGTAAAGTAATGCACATTGGGAAAAATAACCCCAACTATACATACAATATGATGGGGGCTAATCTAGCTACAACTAATCAGGAAAAAGATCTTGGAGTTATCGTGGATAGTTCTCTGAAGGCGTCCACGCAATGTGCAGCGGCAGTCAAAAAAGCAAACAGGATGTTAGGAATCATTAAAAAGGGGATAGAGAATAAGATGGAGAATATCTTATTGCCCTTATATAAATCCATGGTACGCCCTCATCTTGAATACTGCGTACAGATGTAGTCTCCTCATCTCAAAAAAGATATACTGGCATTAAAAAAGGTTCAGAGAAGGGCAACTAAAATGATTAGGGGTTTGGAACGGGTCCCATATGAGGAACGATTAAAGAGGCTAGGACTTTTCAGCTTGGAAAAGAGGAGACTAAGGGGGGATATGATAGAGGTATATAAAATCATGAGTGATGTGGAGAAAGCGAATAAGGAAAAGTTATTTACTTGTTCCCATAATATAAGAACTAGGGGCCACCAAATGAAATTAATGGGCAGCAGGTTTAAAACAAATAAAAGGAAGTTCTTTTTCACACAGCGCACAATCAACTTGTGGAACTTCTTGCCTGAGGAGGTTGTGAAGGCTAGGACTATAACAGGGTTTAAAAAATAACCTCCATGAATTTATCCAGTTAAGTCCATTACTGGCTATTAGCCAGGATGGTTAAGGAATGGTGTCCCTAGCCTCTGTTTATCAGAGGGTGGTGATGGACGGCAGGAGAGAGATCACTTGATCGTTACCTGTTAGATTCACTCCCTCTGGGGTACCTGGCATTGGCCACTGTTGGTAGACAGGATACTGGGCTGGATGGACCTTTGGTCTGACCCAGTAGGGCCGTTCTTATGTGTACACAGACTGACTTCCTGGTACCTCCTCCAAAGTCTTCCCTCCAGGAGCAGTAAAAAAGTTGGAGAGGAAGCCACCTCAGTCATATCACTGTGTCTCTCTTATTTGGTGCCTATATACTACAACAATGGCCACCCTAAAAATACCTGAAGCAAACATACAGATATTATACCTGGGACTTCCCATAAAGGATACTTCTGCTACTGCAGAATGTGGGTATCCACCCTCTGTGCCAGGTTGATGAGTGAGTGCATATTACTCCTATGTCCAAAGCCTTTCACTGGCTGGGTGACATTCAAGATGCTAGTTATCCTGTACAAAGCCCTCAACATGCAGGAGAGTCCAGATACCTCAGGGATATCCTCTTGCTTTCCAGTATGCCATATGCCCTGTACAGATTCAAGGGAGATGGGGGCAAGGCATTCTTAGCAGTAGACCCTGGCCTTTAGAATTTATTAACACCAGAAAGTCACCTAAACTTGCACCTGGCCTCTTTCAGAAAACATAGTATGGTTTCAATCCTGCAAATACACATGTGCTTAACTTAATGCATGTGAATATTCCCACTGACTTCAATGGGACTACTCATGTTTGAAAATTAAGTGTACACATAAGCATTTGCAGGACCAGGGGACAATTATGCACCTACTTTTGCACAAAGTTCTAATGGGGCTTTAAAAGCTACAACTGCTCAGGGTCCTAATTAAGATTTTATCCAATAAAGTTAAAAAGCTATAGGAAACAACAAAAACCCCATGAGAAAATTATACAACATGCTGTTTTCACGCTACATAGGAAAGTAAACCAAAAGAGACAGAGCAAAGTCTTTATTTAGGCAAAACTCCCCTGGTTTATCCTGGCTAAGAGCTGCAGAGTTTGGCTTTCAAGTAATTGACAAAGTATAGTAAAGGTATTTTAAAAAAAATATCCCTTGTTCCTTTAAGAGTTCTCTCATGTTTTTAAACTGTCCTTCCTCCATTCTGCTTCAGTCAACAGAATAATAAAAATCATCAAATGGTACCTGTAAGGTAACACATAGAAGGCTGTATAAATCTGATGTTACAGCAAAAGAAAGAAAAAACTAAGAACACAGATGGAAATAAAGCAAATAGAGGACTACTAGGTGAACATGGTTAGCAGCATGCAGATATTCAGACAGGTTTATCCTGCTGCTTCAGACTAAGGCTGCAATATAATTTACTTTTCAAATGAGGAATACTAACCTAACAAAAATTGCACAATTTAAGTAAAATGTCACCATGTAGAGATCAAAAGCAAGAGGGAAAAAATATCCTCCACAATAGGCTAAAAAGGAGTCTCAACAGAGCTCTGCTTGCTCAGACAAACACATAATGAGGAACCCTTTAGACTTTTGAACCCAACTAGACAGATTATGTTACAAGGAATGTCAGATTTCAGTTTTAGCAGTCGTCAGGGTAAGGGTTAACTGGAGACGCAGCATGTTAACTGTATCTGTGGAGATTATGGAATGTTTATCCAGTGATCAGATTTCCTGTTAAGTGTTTGGATTTCCTGAAATCCTTGCTATCGACCCAAGTGCTGTCCACTGAACAGACTTTGTGGGGGGGGGTTTCTTTGTGCTCACATGGTAGGCTTTCCTTCCTGCTCTCTTCCCAGTTGTAGTGCCTGTGTGTCCTCACCGCTCAGGACATTTCTGGATGGAAATCAAAACTTTTAGTCTCCAGAAGTCTGTGGACCACTGTACATTGGATTTTTTTGTTTTTTAACTGGAAATAACTGAAGAAACATGGTTTCTTTCAGCGGCCCATGGGAGAGGATGTTTTAGCCTAAAATGGAATAATGGCCTTAGGTTTGAGGAACAAATCTGGAATGGGAATTCAAACTGCACAAGTTCTGGTAAGTTGCAGCATGCTAAATTTAGGTGTGGTTAGTACTGTACAGTACTTAGACAAAGACAAGGTGGGACTGTGTGTCCATTGAATCTGACTGCTAATCACTTTACAACAAACAGATCCGTGAAACTGAGGAGATAGGACTTTTGGGGAGTGGGTGTGGGGTATACTGGTGAAGTCCATTTTTTAATTCCCTGTAAATGCATGCTATTTACCTGAACAAAATATATAGGGCCTGATTCTGCAAATCCTTGCTCTTCTAAGTTACCCTTACTCACGAGTAGCCTGATTAACTTTAAGAATTTCACATGTAAGCAAGGGCTTTCAGGATTGCGCCCATATATAAGTTACTTGGTAAACCACAATGTTTTGATCTTAGAAAAGAGTGAGGGAATCAGAGCTTTTTGTTAAAATAGGAATTTTATGGCTGTATTTTTAATTGTATTCCTCCATAGGTCTTTTGCATGTTGAATCTAAACTTGGTTTTAAATTGTTAAAAGAATCAGTGAGAGACTTTTTTCCTATTGCCTTTTCAAATGAATTTGTAATAGAAGCAAAAATGTATTTAGTGCAGCTGTATTGCTAGAGGCCAAAAAGGGGCTTCTTTTTGTCTGTAGCAAAATTGCTGAAAGATACCTTATAGCAAATGAATTGTGCAACTAAAATAAAATGTAAGACGTGGCTTATGATTTAACTAGGGTGCATGGCAGTGATAGTAGCCTTGTGTATTTTTAATTAAACCCTGATCACAAATTCAGCGGGTCTGATGGTCTCACAGTCAATGAGTCAGCATTTGAAAGGAAACACTTAAGGCCCAATCTTGTAGTCCTTGTTCAGGCAAATCTCTTCTAGAAATCCAGTGCAAGTTCTGCCAGAACGAAAAGGGCAAATCAGACTCATAGGCACTGAACGATTGAAATTCATTTTACACTGTCCTTAAGTAAGTGCTCTAGTTACACTCAACACTTCTGAGTTATTTGAATTAATTCAAAAATCTTTTAGTGGGGGTGGGGGATTAGATGGCCTCAAGTTGCTTGGATATTAGGGAGCATCTGTGCTAGAGGGAATTATGTGTAATAAATTTACTTGAGATATTTACACCTCAGCATTGTTTTCACACTGGAATACTGAAATCTCCCTGAATTTTAATGTATGTTATTGCAGGTCTGGGGCAGTCAAGCCATGTTAAAACTAAAACTCTCTAGGTATTTTAGTGGGAAAATACTTTTCCATTTACAAACTGAAAGAAAGCACTCACCGACTTCTGCATTTTAATCTTACTGTGTGGAGTCCTTGGGGATTCTAAACACATTTGTTTTTATTTTGGTGCTCCCTCTTCCTGTGCAAAATCTTAGTCCTGATCCTGCAGTTCTTATACAATGCACTGATGTCAATAGGAGGCTTTTGTGAGTGAGATTGTCAGGATTAAGCACTTCTCCTTCCATCAGTCTTGTAAGAATGCCATTTTGATTGGTTACTTGTGATACTGAAGAGAAAGTAGCCAGTGTTTTACACATGGAAAGTTGAGATTCTCTTCCAAAGTTGTGCACTTTGAACATATACCTATCTCATAGAGCTGGAAGGGACTCTGAAAACCCCCTGTCTTCACTAGCAGGACTAAGTACTTATTTTGCCCTGATCCCTAAGTGGCCCCCTCAAGAATTGAACTCACAACCCTAGGTTTAGCAGGCCAATGCTCAGACCACTGAGCTATCCCCCCCACTTAAGTCTGCCCCCACACCCATACTCATGTGAGTAGCTCCTTGGAGCCAACAGAGGCATGAGTAGGGACTTCTCACCTGAGTAATGGTGTGCAGGACTAGACCTTTGGTGTTCTGCTGTGCATTAAAGGCTGTACACTACTTTGGTTGTCTATATACATGACTGGAAATAAAGCAGAATAGAGGGGGATATCCTCATCTCCAGGCTATGAGGTTCTGACTGCAAAACTCCTAGCAATACCAAAGGGCTAAATGCCCAAGTCCAGGTGTCACTAATGATAGGTGATCTTCAGAAAATTCAGAGGATGAGTTGAGATAAGCACTGAAAAGAAACATGGGGACCTTTCCAAGCCCAATCAAATCTCTTGGGTTTGAAAATCAGGCTGGCAGTGTCATAAGAACAGGATTTTCTGTAGAAATGCCAGTGTTTCTGGTTTTGGTTAAGCTGGAAATGCTGTGAGTATGGCCTTTCTAGTGATATTTTGGTATTTCCTCTTCTGCCCACACCCAGAAAGAGGAAATGCAAATGCACAGCCTTTATTTCTTTGTGTATGTGTTTTTGTTTTTTTTTCCTTGTGTGAACTTTCTTTTTTTATTTCAAACCTCACAACGTTTTAAAGTTCAGTTTGGTTTGGACTTTGGGAATTTCTTCAGCGCTCTATTTATTTAGCTGCACCCAGCCATGTCCCCTTAACTAAAAGTGATGATTACATTAGGGGGTTTTTTAAATTTTTTTTAATGTGGTCGCCTTGGTCCAGCTACCAGTGGCCATTTGCTGACATAACAATAAGCACCATGGTAACTCGCCCTCTGAAATTTTCTCAGTGACAATCAGCAGAGAAGCAGTGGCGGATTAAGGATTTTGCCGCCCCTAGGCCCTGAAATAATTGCCGCCCCTGGCCCCATATGAACTTGTTTTAATTTTTTTACAAATTCGTTTGAACTAAAATGAATCTAAATAACATTAAAATAATTGAACATTTACAAGTTTTATTATAAATAAAATTACAAATACAGCGGACCCTCGCTTGAACGCGCGTCTGTATAGCGCGAGACCGCGCATGGATCCAAAACCCCGCGTTCAAGTGGGGGGTCCGGTGCAGTTTAGGATTCTCACGAGTATGTTTACTAAATGGCATCGCGCCGTCATTGGTGGTTTCAATACGCGCTATGATTGGTAGAATCGCGTCGTCACTGATGCCGCGATTACAAAAATGCTGCTATTATAAATTTGCTGCCCCTGCAAATTTGCTGGCCTAGGCCTTGTCGGCCTAAGCGATAATACGCCGCTGGCTGAATGGGCATCGAGAACAAACCACCCTGTTATCCTTGGAGATATTTCCTTCAGGTCTTTTTAGTCTATTCCTAATGACCACTAATAAGCTCTACAGTTACAGACCCTATTGTACAATCTCCTTTCTGCATATATGAGGCGCTCCTCAACTCATGCATTCATTCTGTGCCTCCCATTCACCGTTGTGCCTGCCAAGCCGCCTGCTTTTCTTCTTGTTGTTGTTGGCAAGAGTGAATAAACAGTTTTGACAGGCATAGCGTACTGGAGAGTCAACTTAATACATACAATAATGTTTCTCTGCCCAGACGATCAATGGGCCAGAGTAACTAAACTATTTCGACTAAATCATTTCTCACATTAAAAGCTTCTAACCCTTCCTGTCCCCTTTGGTTTATGGGACAAAAAATCACATCCTATTCTTTTATCTCTTCTGGCCCGCAGAGCATTTTTAATCTTCAGTCATTTTTCTACCGTTTCTCAAACCCTTTCTCAAAACCCTTTTTAAATGGCCACCCAAACTTCAGGTGAAATTCCCACACTTGTGGGCATTTCAGGCACACAAGCGGGGTAACTGTCCACATGCATTTGTATGTGCTACCGTGGGATCTGCCTGGACAAGTAAGGCAGCTGATTTTGCAAAACTGTCTCCCTGTACGATTGGGTTCATTGCACAAATATCTGTTCCATGGCTTTGCAACCCACAACAAAAAGAAAAGGGATTTTTTATTTGATGGAATATTTCTGTCACGCAACGAGAATCGGCCCAGATTTAAAGTAGGCCCAGTGGAGCTCCGGAGAGAGTTCCAAATACACCAATGTGCTTGTGCTTGTTCTCTCGCCCTCTGATTCAAAGTCCCCTTTTTGGCTTTACAAAGCTGAGGTACCTCAGATGCACGGGAGGGAAGGACACAGTATGTAGTCTTAAAACAATGGGTCAGAATAAAAGGAATGGAATTAGCACTCAGATTGGAATAAATTCAGTCTTGGTATTCTGCCCACTAACCAAGCTCCCCCTACTTGAGCATGGCTTGTTTCTAGCCCCAGCAGGGCTCGTGTCCCAGTGCCTATTCTCTCACTCTAGAGAGAGTGACTCTTCTGCTATATTTTCTTATATCTTGGCTGGAGTTACAAAAAAAATCTACCACTGTGAGTCAGCAGAAATTACTCTGCATCTTTATGCAGGGTTCTAGCTCCCAGAAACGGGATGAGTTCCTAGAAGAATGCTATATCCCTATGCAGGTTCAGAGACCCTGCCACTGTATTCGAGGGAGACTGGATGACCCAGACAGCACAGGATTGGTAATAAGAGCTAGAACCTTTCAGCTGTGTCATAGGTCACCAGCACAAAACTCTCCTAGTTTGATTGGGTCTGATCTTATGAAGTGCCACCCCCAACTCTTACAGCACTCGAGGATACTTCCCGGCCTCACAGAACTGGGCACATGGGACCTGATCCAATGCCCATGGCAATCAGTAGAAAGACTGCCATTGATTTCAGTGGGCTTTGGATCATGGCCATAGTGGCCAAAGTTTGTCACCATTTAATGGCTGTTTACCAGCTATCGTCAAACTCTCAGGTGGCATTGGTCTCTTGGAATCAGTGGGTGTTTTCAGCATAGTTCTTGGCAAGTAGATGTCCACATCACACACACAATCCCACAACACCATAACTGTCTCTCGTGTTGGCATGCTCATCAGGGGGACCAAATATTGAAGGGAGACAAAGAATGAACTGTCATTCACCCTGATAGGTGGCCTGTTTAAGTCAGAGTAGAAGCAGGTCAGGTCAATGTCAAGAAGCAGATGCATGCTCACAGTATGTGTACTGTGGATAAGGAAAGGGTGCAGATCCTTGGTTGCTGTTAACTGGGATAGTGGATGGAGATTTGCCAATTTACACCAGCTGAGGATCTGGCCCAGCATGTTAATATTTAGAGCTGTTGAACAAAGCAACTTTCACCAGCATTAAATTTGAACAAACTGTCAATG